TGTGAATCTGACTTTGACATCCACCAGCATGAGGCTGATGGAATGTGAATACGCCAATTCTGTTCCAACTTGCTCAAACCTTCATACATCCCCGATGATGAGCGAACTCATAATTTTAAATTTATTTCGTTTCTGTGCTAGGTTAAGATTTTTTTTTTTTAATTCTCTTTTCTTTATGTTACAAACATAATTTACACAATTTGCTTTTCTTCTCTACGTACTAATTTGACGATTAAATGTACTAATTCTCACACGATATTTTTTATATATAAACATAAGATTTTTTCTTTCCACATTTTTAAGTTTTACATTTTCTCTCTCTCCATTTAACTTGCAAAAGTAATATATTTTATAAAAGTTATACTTTATCACAATTTAAATTTTTTTTTCTCTTTTTATTTCACTTTGATTACATCATCCACAACATAAAATTTCATATCATATCATAAACAATAAAATTTTTATTTCAAATAAAAATGCAAAATTAAATTGATTTTTAATATTTAGAAGCCATAAATAACATTTAAAACATGGAATTTATGCATAATAAAATGCATTATTTTTTAAATAAAATGATAACAAAGTATCGGTTACCATAAATAACTTATCCAGCAATGAGTTTACCATATTTCGTATTGCTCGCCAAAATCCATGTAACCGTCTGCCAAAGTAGCACCAAAACTTTTTCGACTTAAAAAAATGTAAATGAATTTTTTTCGACTTTTTAAAATTAAAGCGTAACTTTTCACCGTTACATTTTGAATTTAACATGGGTTTTTCCATAGACCAAAAAAGTGGAGATTTTTCTCCCTAAAAAAATTAGAGAAAATTTTTCGACCTAAAAAAATCTAAATTAATTTTTTCCGACAAAGTCGAAAAAAAAATGATCAAACTTTTCCCCCTAACGTTTTGAATTTAACATGGGTTTTCCCGTAGACAAAATAAAAGTGGAGATTTTTTCCCTAAAAGAATTAAAGTGAAACTTTTTCAACCTGAAACAAATCTAAATGTATTCTTTGTTTTTTGACTTTGTAAACTTTAAAGTGTAATTTTTCTAATTACATTTTAAAATTAACATGTGTTTTCTCAGAGACTATTAAAAAAAAAGTGGCGAATTTTTCGTCTTAAAAAAGTGAAATTTTTTCAAACTCAAAAAAGCAAACTGTTTCATCTGAGTTCTAACGGAAACTGCAGTGAACATTTTTCACCTTAACCTTCCAGCACGCGCACGTCGTATTTTTTACGACATCCATTATTTTGCCGTCTTTGGCACGAGAAACGACAGAAATAAGTGAATATTGATAATAAATTTGTTAAAACAAAATATTAATCTTATTTTTGTAAAATACAAATGATATCACATTCAAATATAAGTAAATTATTTTTTAAGTTCTTATATTAGCGAGATGGAAATACGATGTATTTCATTATAGAAAATTTTAAATTATTATTTAATAATTATATTTTTAAAATCAAAGCTAATTTTATATTCACCAAGAGATAAGTATAGACATAAAAAGGAAACACCTTGGTAGAAAAAAAGTAAGTTTAGCATTACTTACTTCTGCAAGGAAATTTACTTCTTACTAATTACAAAAATGCACTTTAAACTAACTTTAATGTTTTTATTTATTCCCAAAAAATAGAAATAAGAGAAAATAAGGAATGGAAATCGCTATTGTTCTTCCATCCAAAGGTTTCCTTGTCTTCCTTTTCTTCATCAGATAATTCTTGAAGAATACGAGCAAAATCAGCTGGTAGCACCTTTTTTTGCCATGAAAACCGATATAAAATTTACAGAGTCAAATGTATTCAAATTAAAATAATATACGGCAATTAATAACACAAAATTACAAAATATTTGAGATAAAAAAATATTTTCCTAATTTTAAAACACGACCATGCGCGTGTCGTAAATTTTATGAAAACGCTGCCACGCATTTTGTTATTGATGCTGATAGACCCAAAGATTACATTTAGGGATATTTGAATTAAGAATAACTGATTTGTTATTCACATAAACCCAGAACTAGCGCCAGTGCTCGTATGGCCGCATTCAATCGCAGAATTTATGGACCCACACAGACTGCATCAGGCGGTAAGATATCTAGCACCGGCTCTCGATAACTCTTAAATATACATTGTGGGAATTTATTTATTCAGAACTCTGATAAGCCTTAAGCATGTGCAAGAACTAGACATAAATATAATAAATAACTAAACAAATACAATCAGGCTTAATTGTCTCAGAGCGCGATAGAAGCAAGATAAAATTTAATGGAACAATTTGTCATTAGTCACCAAGCTCATGATGCATAGCCATGTATAGTGAAGGATAGCTAAATTAGATGATGATAGCCACTAATTTTAAAGGTTTTCGGATATCACAAAACAACGGTGATATTTTCCAATTAGCGTATTTTGTAAGGAAATGTAGAGAAGCAGTATAAATGAAGATAATGTAAAGAATTTTTAATCATGAATGGGAAATCGTAGTATGGTCTAGCTTCCAAATACCGCTACCGGTAGTAAAGAAAGTGACAGAGAAGTACTGAAAACCAGAAAATTTCGATTGACAAGTTATTCGGAATTCTTAAAAAAACATTACAGGACTTCAACATGTTAACTAAAACAAGAGATAGTCTGTCTACAGATTAAAGAAAGTATTAGCACAAAAAACAAAGCTACTTAAACAACACATTGAAAGAATTGTTCAATAAGGTAAACAAATAAATTTAAGCTTTTTTATAAATTTTGATACCCTTAGATATAAATTCAACGATTTCATATTTTTATTTTATAATTTACATGCCATCTTACTAGATTAAACTGATGATCTATTATTCGGAAAAAATCCAAAATCCGGAATCGCCGAAGTCCCGACGAGCCAATTCGGACTTTGGTACTGTAAAAGCAATGAATAAAATTTTCATAATGAATGTATATAAATGTTTTTCATCATTCCTAATAATAAATCCATAAAATGTTTCAATAGGCAATAGAAAAAATATAGTTTTTTAATGGGTTTATAATCTTAAAAAAACATTTTATTAATAACATGAAGATAATAGCATTACAAATTTAATGGTATCCTCATTATTATATAATCTATGTTTTAATAAATATACAAAATCGCTGATTGTGCAATTTCAATTTAAAAAGTAATTAGCAGAAAGTAAAGTCGTGCATATACAAACATATTTTTAAAAAAATTCCCCTTAAAAAAAAATTTTTATATAACAATAACATTCTTTTCAATGATCAGCATGAAAATACAACAAATTTGTGAACTTTTGGTAAACAAATCTTCAGAAAAGCGCATCACAAAATTTTGTCTACTCTGAAATTTCCACGATTATAAATTTAATGAATATATAAACATTTAGAAATGACTTAAACAGTTATACCACAACAAAACAGCAATATATATTCCATATTTCTTCAATTAAATTGGCATCTATTTCCACCGTCCATGATTTCCCAACGAGAGCCATCGCCCTATTAAAAATTACCCGTGATTCTTCAGAAGCAGACCTTTCATATGATTGGCTGATCTCTATGTGGAACACGGCTCCAGATGGAACATTTTTGGGAAGGTTTCAAAATGCTCCTCATAGCCGGGTAGCGTATTTCCAAACCCTACTCCACTTTTCGAATTTTTGATGTCACAGAAATATTGACTAGTTTCACCAGGCAAATAGAAGATGACATACCAGTTTTGATTACTTTGGTGCAATTTTGACAAAATTCTGGTGCTGATTCATGTGTTCAAGTGCTAATTGTGAGATTTTCCTAATTTTAATTATTACGAGTGGAAATTTACGCAAAATCTTGAGTGAATAGTTACTGTTTATCAGTGTAGTGTATTTGAGGAGAGAGAACAATTCACTGCTTATGTATACATTGACAGTATGAAGAATCTGGAAGGTGATACTCAGCAATAAATGTGATGTATTCATCACAAAATTCAGCAACGCCAGTAAAACAAACGAGACTGTTTGAAAAACTTATCCAGATCTGAAGTCACTATACAAAAAATTGTCTGTGTGCTAATGCAGCAATTTTAAAACAATCCACTTGTAGAAAAGTTCAGATCAAGGAATAACAGATGTGCATCTGTGTGCACTGTTATTCAATAACAGTGCATCTAACAGTAACAACTGAATAACAGTGCATCTGTGTGCACTGAAGTGCACACAGATGCACTGAATAAGAATTGCAGTGCATCTGTGTGCTTAAAAACTACAAAGCATTTTGCAGACTTTTGTGCCAAAATCAAGGTTGACAAATAGATTAATACATTTTTAATGTTTCTTTTAGAGTATATATTTCAAAATTATTAAAATAACTTGCACATTATAATATAAGGAACTTCATACTTCATTGTTTTGGTGAAAAATAGGAATTTACTAAATTACCTAACTTTATAACATTAAATACCTTCATAACTATAATATTATATTCTGTTTGATAAAAGCTTAACAACTTTATTCATTTGTTATACATTAAAATATTTTCTGATTTATTTAACATAATTATCAGGATTACAGAATGTGTTAAGAATTTCCATACATGCTTGTGCAGTGTGATTGCATGTTTGTGTACTGAACTTCGATTTTCATGAATGAAAAAGAAATACAATCTCGGAATAAGTACTTTTTTGCTTTCCAATTCCTATGTTTAGCTGTAAAAGTAAATTCATTTCAAATATGTGTCAAGTATGTGTCGTTACTCGAGTTAATACTCGTATTTAGAGACAAGTGTTTCACTCATACTTTCCTTGTATCTCGAATTTCTCGTATACGGAAGTTCCACTGTATAACAGTTATTCTCAGAAGCAAATTTTCAACAATATTTCAGTACAGCTGAAGATTCATAATTTTCTTACAAACTTCTTGAGACAAAATATTAATGAAGGGGAAAAAATAAAAAATTTGAAAAGACTGAATTTATAAATTAAAATGTAATACTGATGACAAGAAAATATTTTCAAGCTTAGAAAAGTAACACAAAGATGAAACAAATTTATTTATGAAATTATTACAAACTGATTATGATACATGAAGTGATTTTAGTGAATGTTTTAGTTCTTTTTATCTGCCATAACATTTATATTCTTCTTTTTTGTGTACTTATATAAAGCACTGAAAAAAAAAAATTAAACATACATTACTTGGCAGTATAAAATTATAGCATAAAATAAGTGTAAAATTAAACATATATATTGACAGTATATAAAATAAACAAAAACTCTTCTACATTACAAAGCAAATTAATACAAAATTTCAAGCAACTTAGAAATATTAACATAATTATACAAAATATTTTTAATATACATTTTGTTGTTTCAATTCAAAAGCCAAGAAATACTTTCAGAAATATTATAGCACAAATTTTGAAAACTGAATTGAAATCCAAGTGCATTAAACAGAAAAGATTCCCATGTTAGTTCGCACAACTACTAAGAGACAAATTAAAAGGTACTAATTCCATTCTTCTACTGAATTAGAAATAAAATTAAATACATTAAATTAATTATAAATTAAACAACTATTATTTCATATAACATTATTAATCTAAAGGTGATAATACATTAATTTAAACAGAAAAGAAAATTATTAAACTGTGAATAAGTATGATTTTGCATAAAAGCTTTTTTAATGTAGCAGCAGCCATTCACTGTAATGGTAATAACTAAAACCATTATATGGCAGTGCTCTCAAGCTTATATTGCATATGCCCTGAATATGTAATCTGAAAGCAGCTGGTTGAAAATTTTTTAACAACAATAGATAACTTGTTTCGTTCGCCTGTGCACAGTAGTTTTTCCAGAAGATAAAATTACTTCATTCTTTTTCATTAAGAAAGAAAGGTGAAGCGATAGACATGGTTATTCAAGCAGCAGTAGTCTAAGAAAGTGATGCGTACTAACTGTAGTCATATTTACAAGCCAGTGTAACGTTGCCGAGTTTCGAGATGGAAAAACGAAGATGGTTTGTTAGATTTATTTAAACACTTAACATAGACTTTCTTGGTTAACATGACAATGTTGTCATAGAAAATGAAAGACATCAGCTTTCTTGACACTCGGATGCATCTTACTCTCCCGGCATTTTTCAGACAAAAGCTACTTTTCTACACTTAAAAAGATATTTCAACAGAAAACCGGCAGAGGGGAGTGTCCTTACTTTCACCAGCCCTATGGTGGACACTGTGGTTCATTTCCAAGAGAAGAGAAAGTTCTCTACTAGCACACACTGTTCTTTGTTACCCTGGAAAGTCTTCGTGTTAATCCTGAAAAACGAGTGAACTAAGGATTTCACAATGCAGAGAAATTGCATGGAAAGAGTGACTAATATCTTGCAGAGAATATCTTTCCTATGCTTTACGCATGCTCGTAATGCGTTTACACATGCGCGTAGTGCATTTATGCATGCGCGTTTAATGTAAAACAGTCGGTATAAGCTAGGCTAAATTATCTTTACTGATTCTAAGGCATTTCAGTTAATGTTGCAGATTGTGCTGTTCCTTAATTTTCTAATTGGATCTGGCTTATTATTTTTTTAAGACTATTAGAGGAATTTTATAAAAATTAAGCTTGAGCTTTCGATTATGTCAAAAACAGTTTCCAATTCTAGAGCTGCCAAAGGATCTACCAAAGCGAAAGCATGTTTCGATGTCCATCAAACAAAAAGTGGAATTGCTGCAAAAAATGGATATGCTGCAAGGCATATCCATCTTAAAATTATGCGAAGGAGTATGGCATTGGATGACACAAGAGAAAAGAAAAAGGAATTTCTTGAATTTTTCCTGGAAGCACTTTAAACAACTTGCATTGAAAGAAATGTTTAATAAGTAAACAAATAAATATTAAGCTTTTTTTTTTTTTTTGATAGCCTGTAGATCAACGAACTTATTTTTAGTTCGTTAATTAACCCCCCAATTATTTTTAGTTAATTAGCTTCTTTTTCTCTCTTTTTTCCTTTTGTGTCGTTGATCAGCAATTCCTTTATTGATGAGTATGGTATAATTGCTGAAGTATTTATTTTGATTTTTTTTGTTATTTTTACTAGTTTTTATTTTACTCGGGGCTCGGGCTTTGGGGACCCGGTTTTAATGTTCATATATGTTGGTTAAAATCTCTTTCTTTTTTTTTCTTTTTGCTGCCCAGATTAAAGGAGGAACCGTGGATCGCTGGTTGTCGTCGTTTTGGTTTTGAGGAGGTCGACCCTTTATAATCATATGGTCCAGTGGGACTAGGAGGATTGGGTCTTCCCTGTATTAAGACCCTGTATCATAATTGCTCTTTATTTCATAAATTATGGTTTCATATTTTTAATTGTATAATTTCTGCATGCCATCTTGCCAGATGTAAATTGATGATCTATAATCCAGAAAAATCCCTAATTGAGAAACTCCGAAATCCCGACAAGTCCGGATTACGGACTTTGTACTGCATATACATACATATAGTGACAAAATAAAATATTCATGACCATCCCCACATTTTTAAATGAACTTGTCTAAATGATGTTGAGGGCATGTGTAGGAATGGTACTTAACTGCTGCTCAAGAAGGTAAGGAATCATTCCTGCACTTACTTTTTTGAGTGATAGGAAAGCCTGCTGATCTACGAAAATTTGATAGAGGGAAGACTGTAATGGCCTGAAGACTCAGAATGATTATCTACGAAATTGCATGACTGATAAGTTGTTCATCATCTGCTATTGTTAGTATGAGGGGTGTATTTAAGTAAAGGCCATTTAAATATGAAAACTAAACAAAAGAAAGTATTCAAAAACCAAGCAGTGGTATGAGGCTTTACATTGTCATGGAGTAGCAAAAATTCCATCTATCAGCATGCCGCTTCTTTTGATTTGAATCGCTCTGCATAGCTTTTACAGAGTCTGGTCGCAGGCTGCAACATTTATGGTGGTTCTGTGTTGCATGAACTCGACCAAAAAAACACCATGCCTATCCCAAAACACAGACAATGCAAATGGTGTGCTGGGATAGAGTCTGTTTCATCTTGACCCTTATAGGAAAGTGTATGTGTGTCTCCACTCTATGCTGGTTGCTTCGATTCGGGTGTGACTTGTGAAACCCACATTTTGACTCCCATTATGATCTGACTCAACATGGCATCACCTTTTTCGTTATAATGAATCAAAACATTCAAATCTTTTGTTTTTGTGGTCCTCCATTAGGAGTTTAGGGATCCAACAGGAGCACAGTTTCTGAACCTTAACTTTTTCAGAAACAATCTTGTACAGCAATGACCTAGACACTTCAGGAAATTTGTTTGAAAGAGTGCTTATGGTGAAGCATCAGTTCTCAAGAATTTCTGCTTCATTTGAAGCCACCATATCGTCTGTGATCACAGTTGGGCAACCAGAGCTGGCCTCATCATGGACATTATTATGGCCAGTTTTGAAGTCTCTGACCCATTTACATACTCTGCCTTCGCTCAGGGCAGTCACTCTGAAAACTTCACAGATATGCCGTGGAATGTCTGCAGCAGACAGCTTTCTTGCCGACAAAACACATATCACTGACTATTCCTCACACAAGGCGAGCGATTGGATAATCTTGCTCATTTTTAAGACACAGAACAGACTGTACAGTTTACCTACACGGTTGCAACTGAGCACAGTTTTGTCCAAGGAATGCCGGGACACGAAGCAAGCACTCATTGCGGCATGGGCATCATTTATTAGTGGATACAAAAAAAAAAAAAAAAATGGCCCTCACTTAAAAACACGCTATGATGGTGAAACCAGCAGTAGACTCCAAGGTATTAGACATCTAACACATCATAAGAGAAAAAGGATGCTGAGATTGTCCCGCTTAGTACAGCAAACGCGGCACCAAACAGTGGCTCGGCTGACAGTACAATACAAGTCCAAGTGCAAGTGTTTCGGAACACACCGTCCAGCAGACACTGTTGGATATGGGACTGTGCAGCAGACATCCCACTCGCATGCCTCTGTTGGCCAAGCGTCATTGTCAACTATGCCTACAGTCGGTTTACGTACATACATTACGTACGTAAATACCATGAAAAAATCTCTTCTGAATCAATTTTAAATCCACTTTACAATCCATTTTTGAGAAAAGAGTCCTCTGTCTGTGCATAAAATGGCAAGCAAATATAACGTTCAAATGGATTCATGAGTGGTTAAAATGGATAATTTCATTGAAATATGATACCCGATACTACAATACTTCCTTTACTTCATACAAGGAAGTAAAAATCACTAAGATAAAGGAATGAACTTTGCATTGTTTAAATTTCATTAATTCAATACAATTTATCTATTGCTGGAAAATACTTTCCTTAGTAAAGATTAAAAATTAAAGATATTTTGAGATCAAATAAATGGCCTTACAGCAGTAAAGAAAGAAACACATAATCCAATGATCTACATTTATATTGGAATACCTTTCCTTCTCAACATGAACAAATGCAGCATAAGCATTTCGGCATTCGCATTTTAATTTCTTGATGTGGTTATTTGAACACAATCTTTCTTTGTGAAGAGAGTACATCTTCCTTGAAGAAACAGGATAGCTGCTTGTTTGTCTTTCTCAAATTCAAAGTTGTTAAATTCTTTGCAGTTAAAAAACAATTATTTCTATAAAAATGTGGTTACACAAGTAATATTTACAAAAATAACTATTACCAGGAAAGAAGCCAAATCAAATTATCAGCCCCTGAGATGTCAAGAAAATATGCTCCCCCTTCTCACAAAAAAGAAACAAGTGATATGCCCTTGATGGAAATGCACAAAGAATATATTATACAAAGCGAGTCACTAGAGATATGTGATTCAGCCACCAAAGCCAGTTCTCCAACAGTTCATTCTATCATTTCATTTAGAAGTAAAAAGCAAAAAAAAAAAAAAAAAAAATATATATATATATATAGCTAGTATAGTGAATATAGAATTATTTTTATCTAAAATTCCTATGGCTATACCAGATGCCATGCCAAAGGTTATCCCAAATATATGAAACATCTTTTTCATGTTAAAAAAATCTTACTAGTTTCCAGAAAACTAGAGGGAAAATCTCACCATTGTTTCCTCGTATGAAGGCATCCCCATATTTATTTTTCAGCTGTCCATTTACATACTCTTCTGTCTGTTCTAAAGCTATGTTCATATATCCATCCAAACAGGCTAATACTCCTAAAAAGTTTAAAACATATAATATATTATTATGAATATAAATTACTTTCATATTTTTCAAAGTCTAGTTAAACTAGTAATAAACAAGTTTTGAATTTAAAAAATATTTATTTTACAATGCAAAACAAAACTAAATATATAATAATTCAAATTAATCTAAAACCAATTTCTGTACATTATTTAGAAACACACAGTTAAAAAATTACAAAACTTTGATTACCTACTAGGGGTATACTCACCTCGATAATCTACACCAGAGTTCAGTTTAACTACAACTGGACGGCCAATTATCTGCTTCAGAAATTCACTAGGAGTTTGTCGTCTACTCATTTTTTGGATAACAAAAGACTATCAACTAAAACAATAAATATCACTTTAAATTAAACAGTATAAGATACAAAATACATGAAGTACTAATATTAATTATTTAAATAACAAAGCAAGAATAGCAGATATTTTCATATACTGTTTTATCTTCTTGGACATATTTCAAAATGTACATATATGTACTTCTGTAAAAATGCTATAAAAAATAAAGAATAGACAAGTACAGATGAAGAAGACATACATGAAAAGGTTAATAGTATAACTCTCAACAGCTCTGGGCTAAAGTGGTACAGTAGTTCTTAACCTAGAAGGGGGTGTGAGTAGAGTTGCCAACTCTGTTGAGTCGCAATAGAGGACAGTAAAATATTTATATTAATTTCTATTATTATTAAAGTTCATGTGAAGAACACATGTTTGAAACTTTGAAACCAATCGAAAAAAGTTTTATTTTTATAATTCAGACAATAATATATCGACTCATTAAACATAATAGATGCATTATTAGAATAATCATTAAAATTTTTAAATGTTAATTCAAAAATGTAGAAAGCATTTGAGGCATTTAAAACAAAAATTTTTATTTTTAAAATTATACTTGTTCAGATTTCTAGCACACTTTATTAATTATTCACTATTATTTTTAAATTATACTTCAGGAAATATGCATCACTTTTTATTTATTTATTTATTTGTTTGTTTTGGCAAATTCTGAACAACTTTCTTCCAAATTAAAATACGTAAATAATTTATTTTTTATAAGTTCAAGAAACAAAACATGATTTCATTCATTTTACTATTTAGTTGATATGACACCAAAAATTCATTTACTGTACACTGATATTGTAGGAAATGAAAATACTGTTTTTAAAATATTCCTAGATTTATAATCAGCACTTTTTAAAATCATGTGCCATTTGCTACTTTACGTTTTGGATCTTGTAAAATGTTCAAAATTTTGAAGAGTCAAAAAAAAAGTTAATCTTACTTCATCAAAAAGATTGTCAATATTTAAATCCAGCTCTTCTTTTACAGGGTTGCCACTCAAACAGGAGAATGAAATTCCCTGACTTTTCCAGGTTTTCCAGGTGTGTTTCAAGAAAATTCCAGTCTATCCGCGTAATGTACGTTGGCTGTGCTAAGAGGTAAATTAATTATGGTATTACTTGTATTGTGTAGCAAATTCACTTAATTATTTAATAAATCCCAGAGGACATTTATTCTTAATTATTCTTGGTATACTTTGTTTGATAATTTTGTTTAGTTTTCCACTTAAAATTTAAGATATATACATTGGATAACAAATGTATGTTTTATTTAATTATTACTCATGATCATCACCAGTTCAACACGAGGCTAATCCGGTCCTTATAAATCACAACGCAATGCTAAATAGTTAGGTTAGATTTTAGGTAAATTTAATTTGTGTGAGGTATGTTCTTAAAAGGCACCTTAACACTTGAAAACACAAATATAATTATAATAGTTGTTTTCTCCACTGAAGATTGAGATTAGAATCTTCCCAATCTGGAATAAAATAAGGCTTTTTTTGCAGACATTCTGCAGCTAAACGAAAGAAAGAAATCTATTTTAATAAATTGAGGTATTTTATATTTATTTTGCAGCATACATAAGGAAAAAATATGTGCATTAAATTTCGTGATGGTATGTCATCATACTGCTATAATTAATTTCAGGATTATGCCAGAGAAAATTTCCTGAAATTTGGAAATATTATTTACTAATAATAAATAAATTTAGAGGGAAGAAGCAACATTAAATTATATGAATAACATAAAAATAATTACTTAAAAATTGAATTAGAATAATCAACGATATTTTAGCGAATATAGTTATATTACATGGCTAGCCTAGATGACTGATTACTATTTTTTTATTTTACTGCAAAATGGCAAGGTATTTATTAAAAAGAAAAAAAAAAAGGTTTAAAAAGATTTTGCGGTAAAATTCTAGTATACGGTAAGGCTTTGGCACGATTTTGAAAATTGTCGCCAAGACCAAAATGACCCGTTTACTGCGCATCATGATGTCGCCAAATCCTCATTATTATTCTAAAACAAAGAACGTCTATGTAAAGAAGAAAAGGTTCCATACAAGTAAAATGCTATTACGCCGTTAGAATGCGGAGGGAAAATTTGCCAAGGGATTTGGCGACGGAACCTGGCGGCCAGAATTTCTCTCTCCGCGATGTGTACAGGAAATTGAGAAACACGTGTTAAGAAGAAACGCTCTTTGACAAAAACTACGAAAATCCGTTTTTAAAATTATTGCGAAAAATCCACGCAATAATTTTAAAAACGGATTTTCGTAGTTTTTTTTCCCCCTGAAAATAACTAATCCATGAATTAATTTACTTGCGCCAAAAAATTTTCTTTTTCCTTTAGAGTTTAACCACTTGCGCTAAGACTAAACTTCACGGTTGGGGTGCAGTACGCTACAATATAACAAGCGGTAAAGTGTCTCATTTACGCCGCTCCGCATCTGCGAGTGCAATCCAGAGCTGTAACTCGAGAAATAAACAATCTCGTTGTTAGGCGACGTGTGCACCACGTTATTTTCATTTTTGCGATAAATGCTTATCGACGTGGTGTTCACGTCGCTCACGGTTTGAGACAAAAGCATCTCGACGTGCGTGGCACGTCTTTTTAGCGCAAGTCGTTCAAGAAATTTTAAACGATATTCATTTTATGAACTCTTGATAACGTGACCTTCGAACTTCGACGACAGATATATCAGACATGCACAGCTGTTTCCCTCTATGATGGAACGGAGCCACGTCTGTTGCAGAGAGGTTTTCCTTCTTTACAATACATATTCTTTGATGCTAACCTCCATGGTACCGTATACTAGGATTAAACCCATTTTGTTTTATGCGAGAACAGGTACTTTCTTTAGTTCATGCACTGCACATGCGATTCTCGAGAATAATGGAAACCAAAAGTTGCGGGAAAGTTGCTTTGCCTTTCTAAAAGACAATCAAATTGGAGCTGCGAAAATTGGCTCTATGCCAGCTACCCGAATGACACTCACGTGATACATAATTCGCCAAAAAAGTTATCTCTTCCGACGTCGGCGCAAAAATCGCTTTTTTTGGCGGGATCGTTGTTTGAACTTCCCTGACTTTTCCAGATTTTGACAAAAATACTTAAATTCCCTGAATATTTTGGTCAATTTTCGAATTCCCTGACTTTTCCCGGTTTTCCAGGTAGCGTGGCAACCTGTTTAGTTTCAGATCTCAATATTTCAAATTTAGGTAATGCTGGAAATGAACTAAATGGACTTAGATTTGATAATTGCCAAATGTAGAATTTTCATCAAAATTTCTTCTAAAGGGTTTCTTAAACTGTGGGTTTGGGCCTGCAGCAGGGGGTCAAAAGTTTTAGAGTTTTAATATTTCTTTAACTTATATAATAAGTTTACAATTACCAAATATTTTTACACAATGTATTTGAAAATAGATAAGGTAAGACAATACAGACAAAGGAAAAAAACGAAAACATTTCAACGCACTCTTTTTATAATATAAATGTTCATGTAATAAAATCGCTTTTTTTGGCGGCATCGTTGTATGAACTTCCCTGACTTTTCCAGATTTTGACAAAAATACTTAAATTCCCTGACTTTCCCTGAATATTTTGGTCAATTTTCGAATTCCCTGACTTTTCCCGGTTTTCCAGGTAGCGTGGCAACCCTGTTTTAGTTTCAGATCTCAATAATTTCAAATTTAGGTAATGCTGGAAATGAACTAAATGGACTTAGATTTGATAATTTGCCAAATGTAGAATTTTCATCAAAATATTCTTCTAAAGCAGGGTTTCTTAAACTGTGGGTTGTGGGACCTGCAGCAGGGGGTCGCCAAAAGTTTTAGTAGTTTTAATATTTCTTTAACTTATTATAATAATTTTACAATTACCAAATATTTTTACACAATGTATTTGAAAATAGATAAGGTAAGACAATACAGACAAAGGAAAAAAACGAAAACATTTCAACGCACTCTTTTTATAATATAAATGTTCATTTTCCTTGCTCTGCACGTGACGCTTTCATTATGTCTGTTACTTATTTAAAATTTTCACATTGTTGTTCCATGTCTTAAAATTAAAGTTAATGACCTAAAACTGCAATAGTATATTATAGTACAAGTGAAAAAATTGACAGTTTCACTAATGTGTGTGTGTAGGATATGCACAATATTTATGGGGTCCCACAAAATTTTTGTAAATATTATGGTTTCCTGGGGGTCGCAAAAAAATTTCAATGATAAAAGGGGTTGCGACTGAAAAAAGTTCAAGAAACCCTGTTCTAAAGAAATAATTACTAAAGGAAGAAAAATTTAAGTTGTCGTAATCTTTTGAGAGTCTGCATTTTCTAATTTTTTCAAATGTTGAGGAATTTAAAAGCCAAAAAATTTCTTATGTCAAGAATTAATATTGTTTCTTAAGGTGTTCAAACATTGAAAACGTAACACAATAAGTTTTTCCTTTTCTAGTTCAACAGCTAAGTTAAATACCAACAATAAATGTTGAGAGAACAATAAATATATTTCAAAAGTTGGTATAATTTCAATAGAATCCCCATCAGTTAAAAGCAGTTTAAATAACTGTATTTGGTCTGCTTAATAAATAAGAACTTAAGGTTTTCCACAAAATTAAAATTCTTTCAATGCATGGCTTTCAATAAAGCAACCTAGCAGGCACATTGAGTCGAAGAAAAAAAAAAAAAAAAAGAGGGGGGGTGGACAACTCTATATCTTCTATTCTACTGGACCGATTGACAAAATTCAACTTGCATTTTTCATGTCCCAAAAGCATGACTTAGGATATATACTAGATTTATATATAGGTTTGTTCTAACATATGTATTCTAACACAAAATCCTGAAATGACATGCCTTTTTTCCCTCGTAAGTCGAGTCTATGACTCAAATTATGCCAAAAAATCAAATTTTGTAAAACCTGGTGTGAAATTTAATCAGTAATTCTGAAATTTATGCTGGCACACCTTTTTTTTTTTACTTTTTGCCAAGAATTCAATTGGTAAACTTTAGTTAATGGCAACCTATTCCAATTTTCCATTCATTCTGCATGAACCGAAAACCGGAAAAAGTAACCCTCTTAATCTTGCATAAAGTTTTACTTCATATTACATTTGTTAATCACAGTTGTTATTTTTAGAGTTTTTTTTTCTTTTTATAATTTGATTTTAATTGTTTAAGTTGTGTAGTTAATAGTTCTTCAAGTGGTCATTTTAAAATTTTTTAATTCATTTGCATTCTGTACTTTAAACATGCTTATTCATATATATATATATATATATCAAAATTTTATTTGATTTATTTGAATAGCATTTCTTTCGAAAGAATACTTTGCGACTCAGTATTCATGAAACTGTGAAAACCGTATTTTGCATTTAAGCAGAAAACACCATAATACATAGCAAACATATTTTCCAATGGGCCATTCAGAAAAGATATATAAACAAAAACGTTATATTATCTACATTTTAATTTATAATGATATGCATAGAAACAATTTTCCAGGGTTTTATCACTGTGATATTGCTTTACACAATTTTATCATCCTATAATTAGTTTGTTGAAATATAATCCATATTTCAGAGTAAGTTCAAATTTTTCATTTTTTAAATTGCAAAAATTAAATAGCATCACATAAAAAAGACTAAATTTTCTGCAAATAAATTAATTAAATAAAAATAAATAAATAAGTACAAGGGTTGGAACTTTAATAGTGGCAACTATTTATTTACAAGGAATACAAAAGTGATTCATGTCACCATGTTTTACAGTCCTTCAATATAGTCGCCAGCATTGTGTACAACCAGTTTTCAATGATGTGGAAGTCGCAGAATACCTGTAGCAGCGCCTGTTTTGTTGATAGTTTGAATGGACCGGTCTACTGCCGCAAGAATCTCAGGAACAGTTTGGAAGCGAGTGCCACGAAGTGGTTCCTTCATCTTAGGAATTAAGTCATAGTCACAAGGGCTTAGATCTGGGGAGTGTGGTGGATGGTAAAGCACTTCCCAGCCACATCGCTTGAACAAATCAGTCGCAGCTCGCGCTGCATACGGCTGAGCATTGTCACGCAAAATGAGAGGAGCGTTCTGCAGAAAGTGTCGCCGTTTTTTTCTCAAAGCCGGTCGGAGATTGTGCTCCAAAAATAAGCAGTAATACTGCGCAGTGACGGTCTGCTGTGGGGGAACGGTATGCGTTAGGATGACACCATTACAGTTGACACGAGAATCACCATAACTTTCACATTGTTGGGGTTCTGACGAAATTTCGAACGTCGTGGTGACCCGTGATGACGCCATTCGTTTGATTGACGTTTCAGTTCTGGCTGGTATGATCGGGCCCAAGTCTCATCCAGCGTAATGATACGGCGTAAAAAAGCATCTCCTTCATGCTCATAGCGCTCCAGGTGGGTTCGGGCAGCATCGTATTGTAGCCATTTCTGCATTTCCGTCAATTGATGTATAACCCATCATGAAGCAATTTTTCTCATGGACAGGCATTCCTTCAGAATGTGCAACACACTCGTATGCGCTAATCCTGTTTGTCCGGCCAGCTGACGAATCGTTTGGCGGCAATCACTGTCCATTAGTGCAGCAACAGCTTGCACGTCTGCATCGCTGACATTCGGACGACCTGGCCACAGCATGTCTGCCACGTTTTGGCATCCTTCATTGAATGCTTTCACCCATCTTGCTACGGTTCTGTAAGGACATGCAGATTCCCTGCAAGCCTCTTGAAGCCCTTGATGACACTGTCGTGCTGTAGGACCTCTGGCACATTCAATTTTTATCCAACATCGTTGTTCTTGTTTTGAAAACATCCTAACAACACTTACTTTAGACCGCGAGCTAATACAAGGATCCGTTCTTCGCATCACTCCGCATACGTGTGACGTAGGCAAGACAAGTCTTTTTTGCTGAGAGGTAAGGTAGGTATGTAGTTTACGTGTGGTATACGCGATATTCTTTGGTTTTTTTGCGTAGCGTTTTTTTCAGCTGTGTTGCCACTATTAAAGTCCCAATCCTCATATTTTATTTTATTATTATCTTAAACTTTTCTTCTTAATGCCTTATTGTCTCAAGAAAACCTCAATGACTTTATGATTTTCTCAAGATATTCTGCAGATATATTTCAATCATTCTCCCTTTCTTATTCACTAAACACCATACTCACTTTTGAAACAGTTTGTTTTCTGCAACATTCTTAGCTCTGTATGAATTTAAGCCGAGCCCACTTATTTTATTTAATGTGCAATGCTTCTTTCAGTCTTTCTCCTCCTGTCTTTAGCTTAGATTTCAAGAACACCAACTGGATACAATAATAACAAATGTAACTGAAACATTTATTTGCACTATGGCTTGGTAGTTTAAAAACTAATATGTTTAAAAACTTTAATAATAATAATACTTTAAATATTCACAAACAGTAAATTAGAATCTGCAGGGTTGCTATTATAACCAGAAACTAGAATTAAAATCTTGCAGATTCTGCTAGGCAGATATTGAGTTATCACTACATCTTAAACAACTCGCAAAATTAAAAGGTTTAAATAATAATTTTACTCTCAGTTTGAACACAAAGGCACAACATGTGGATATTTTAATTTAACAGAACTGACAGTTAAATTTGAATGTCAATAACATAGTCTAATACTACACATTAAATAAAATAAGCTGGTTCATATATTTTACCAGCGCATATAAAACATCAACTAGCAAGAATGCTAAAGCCGGAATATAACTTCTAAACAGGGCTGGCTAAAAATACTAGGAGCAAAATATGATTACCAGAAGCTCTCTCAACTCTCAGATTCAAAACCCTCAGTTTAAAGACACACAAAGCTAATTTGCATTCTGGTGAGGAATATAGAAATAATACTAATTATTTCCACCTGCTTCACCTCTCAATGGGCACTACAGGTCAGTCATATCATCCTGACACTAGCAACTATTTTTGCCACATTTATTTTTTCAATCGTGTTTTATTTTTTAAATATTTAGACATTTGTGTTACAACATTTGTTGGGCTTTCCAACTTACAATGTTTTTTTTATTAGTACAAATTAGCAAAAGAGGTTAGTACATGGTATTTGCATATTTACAAAGTGTAGGCTTGCTGCTTTTACAATTCCTCAGGTCTTAAACCTGGTTGTTTGCTGCTATTAAGTTTTTCATTATGTAGACAAACTCCATGATGGCTCTAAAAGGAGATTTTATAACTGAATTTAAGTTTTTTTAAGTAAAATCATTTAAACAAGCCATGTTAGTACAACATAAGAAAATGTGCAACTTTTATGTCCATCAAATCTTAAGTGTAAATCTAATGATGAATGCAAAATTCAAAATGCAAGGTGTATGATGTAAGCATATATATTGCAAAAATACAATTTTCTCAAAAATCGAAAATAGATCATCAAGAAGGTAAATTCTTTTGTGCTACAAATGCATCATCTTGTACTGTAGAAAACCCTAATTTCATATAATTAATGAAGATGCTCCCTCCGTTTTGCATTGATATAAGTGGTAAATTATTAAATGATACAAGTGAAGAAAAAATAGAGAAATACAGTAACAATTTAATTAATCAAATAAGTACATATGATGCTAGACAGTTAATTTAATATTCACTATCAATGAAAAATCTGCATATATGTTTGTGCAACAGATGAAACTGTTTATTTAGTGATAATTATCGATTCATGATTAACATCATATGCAAGAGAAAATTTATTTATCCTTCCTGTTGATGGACATTAAAAATTTTTAAAATAAGTTTATATATTTAATTTACAGTTGTAAATGATAATGCAGCAAATAAGGCAAATGTTTAAAAAAAAGATTAAAATAATTATTAGTTTGTAATTTACGGTTGTTTGGAATACCATTAATTTGTTGGTTAAAGCTTTAAATATACTAGATGTTACTCAGTGTGTTATTTGAGTCATAAAATATTTCTGAAATCACCTAGACAAAAAAATTTAATTAAATACAGTTGAAATGGTTAAAATGTATGTCGAGTAGCACATACATTAGAACTCAGCATGTGACTCCCACAAAAGTTTTTTTAAAGAAATGGCCAATTTCCATGCAAAATGTAGAACAGAACTGAAATGAAATAGACGAGAACATTCAGTCATATGAAATGTAGACCTGTTACTTTATTTGAAGACAATTTCAGTCACTTTGGTTAAGGTCTAGAAGCATAATTACAAGATTGTTGAAGTTGTATAAATTTGGAAAGATCTTGAAAACAGCTAACCAGTTTTAAATAGAGCACATTTAAAAACTACTTAAAATTATATGAAGAAGCTCATCAGCAGCACATTTTTTAGCACACATTTCATCACCAAAATATAAAGCTGAAGGTATATCTAATGCATAAATACAAGGGCGTAGCTAGGGGGTGTATCTGTTCCCGGGGCGCAGAATCCAAGGGGCGCTAAACTGATGTTACGACATTTTAGAATTAAATGTTTTCCATCCTTGGCAAGCAGTAGGGGGCGTGAAATCTTCAGTTGTCCGCTGGCGCGCTGAAAACCCTAGGTACGACTCTGCATAAATACATAAAAAGGAATAGGACCTGGGATAAATAAAAGAAAAACATGCATTAAGTTGAAATTTATAATTTGTGCTCTACCTTTCTATGGAATCCTTTTTACTGAGCTCAGTGACCACACTTGAGTTGTGGAAATCAATAGCTCCTGTAAAAGAATGCATACAGAAAAAAAAAAAAAGAGGAAACTAAATATCATTGTAGTAATCATAGCAGCAATAGTTACACTGACAGGAATTGAGAAAATATTTACTATTTCTGAAACTGTATAGACACTCAGGCCAAATATAGAAATCAGAACAAATGGCAATAATACAGATATCCCGAGATATTGCTTTGTAAAATTGTATAGACCGCAGATAAAAGTGCCATTCAGATTGTTTAAGTGACAGAAGTGACTTCACAAGTTATTAATGCCAAAATATTTTATTATTTTTCATGGTACAATTATTATAAAAATTGATATGTAAATACTTTCATTATGCTTCTTAATATCATCTATTAGAGATTCAATTACTTTGAAAACTTTCAATGTGTGGTAACCATTTAGTTAATGTAGGGCAAAAATCCAAAAAAACTTACTTGAATATAAAAACATATATTTTTAATTCATGATTTTTACACTCAAGTAAGAAAGAAAGAAATCTCGCAATAAGCATAATTTTTTGAATTAAATATTTTTGAATAAAGATTCTTATCATGCTCTTTCACACATTAGACTTATATTGTAGTAAATTAATACACATATATTAATCCCTTCTAGGTCGGCATCGCATCTCACATGTTCAGCATTTTTGCGCCCATAAGGTCGGCATCACATGCCATGAAGTGAAAAAGTCCTTTGTCGCAGCTCGTACGCCGCTTTAAATTCCGTAATTATTTTTGTATTTCTGAATATTGCCAAGAGACAGCACAACTAGTCCTAGTTTCTTCACAATTTTTGCAGCGAGATTTCCCACCTTGAATATTTATTATTGAATATCCGCATGATATCTGTTAGAATTTCAACTAAAAACTATTCAAGATATTTTTAATATTCATAGCCAAATTTTTTTTTGCAATAATAAATTTGCAAAAAAATATTTTTTGTTTTTGTTTAAATAAATGATTTTGTTATAAATGTGATTTTTATGTTCTGATGTCCAAGGCAAGTTGTAAAGTAGTTTTAACAGTAAGGTTGGATAACCATTTTCTAAAGCTTTTTTTATGCAATTTTAATAATTATTTTGATGTAGATATTTATATTAAACACATGAAAACAATACAGTTAATAAATACAGTATCACCTTTTTTTGAAAAAATTATGAACTTGGGTGCATTACAGGGAAAATGTGATGAATGGATGGGATATCACATACGAGATCACTTGTAGGTCAATCAAAAAATACTTACTGTCAAAAATATTTTGCATTTTTGAATTTAGGATAGAACATATATTAATTTTCAGAAATTTAAAAAAAAATGCTTTTTGGGAGGTAGAAATGCGAAAAATAAAATCCGACCACAAAGGGGTTAAGTACAAAATAAATAATTGCCTTTTGATTATAAGCAAAATAAAAAAAAATCATTAGCATGATAAACTTGCATACTATTAATAGATAAGAAATAAACTGGGACAGGAGAATAATATATGGTGAGGATATAAATTCCTTATCAAAACACTGTTTTTTAAGATATGAAAAGAGATTTAACATAACACTGCCCATGACAAATTTAGTCTACGTTTTCATAGGTTCTACCATGTAGTTACATTACTGATACAGTAATCATTTATAAACTTTAAAAAAATTCTATTGTTCCAATACATTTTTAAGTTATTTTATTGTTTCAAACATACTATATTATATTTAGCTTTGACACAAGATAATTTAATCTTACCACTGGACATTTCTATTTAAACAAATTAGGATACTTTTCTATTATAGGATTCAGAAATGTATGTATGTATGTACGCATGTTTACATATATGTCAATGCATACACACACATCTATTTCTGAATCAGGTCCCAAGAACTGAAAAGTACCTTATTGTCAACAAACAAGAACACATTTTTTTATTTCACTTGGTTAGATGCCCTCAGTTTTGATAGTAACACTACATTCTCTGTGTGATGTTAATTATGCATTTCTCTGATCTGTTTTTATTTATTCGAAAGAAAGTTATGAAGATTTAACAGGTGTGTAAATATGTGATGAAGAATGCTAATTCATTTTGTTCTCATGGAGATAGCAGGTTTAAAGATTACTATCATCTATATTAACTTCTATTTCATACACTAGCACTTTTCACAGAATCCTACAGTTTTCTTAGCACTTTTGAATAGTGAGATTCACTCTCATTGCACTCGCCCGAATTTTTAAATAAATTAAAATTAGCGAGTGGTGTGACTGAATAGCGTGAAACTTAAGACGTCAGAACTTACTAAAAATGTTACAGTAATTTCAAATCATCACATTTATTATATTTTTTAATCAACGATAATTATTTTTTGTTACTTCACCAAGAGAATGGAAACAACTAGATACTTATGAAAATATTTATAGTATATATTTTATTTAACAAAAAATTTATTCTTAAACATGCTAATTAATATCCCTGAACTAATAAACAACAGATGTCACATTTTACCAATATTTTTAAAATTTAAGCTAAAAAAAAAATCGAAATCTGGTGCTCTTAATAAAATCTAACATAAAAATAAATCATAAATAACATAAACATAAAATCTTAAATAAAATCTAACATAAAATTTATTCCTAAAAGAAACAAAATTAAAAAAATTTCAAGTCACTGGAGCAGAAATGTTATTTCCGTTAATGACCGGTACATTTCCATTACTTGCAAGAGAATTGTGGAAAATTAAGGAATTGTAAGGTATTTAAAAAATCAAACTGACTGATAGAAATAAATTTTATTCCATGATACAATCTGTAAATGAATAAATAAATCATTCTAACACCTAACAATTATTTCAACATACCTATCAATGCTTTACAGAAATACGTGCGTCTAAATACCCGACGGCGGTTCACAAAATCTTCCCAGTTTCTTCCCAATACATTCGATACAAAGAATTCGGTAGCGGCGAGTTTTAGCACATGCTTAGCCAGCGCGTCCCCTGTACACTATTGGCGATGGATCATGAGATTGGCGACCAAGCACACCTTGCTGAGAAATTGTGTTCATTGCTCGCTGCAGTATTACAACCAAAGAGTATGTATTGTTCTTTGATTACAACTATTTGTTTTTTTTACCGAATGTGATTGTCATGAATGGCAATTTTTTATGTTTGGAATGTTCTAAGTCTTATTCGTTCCGACGAAATCTACGAGCGCATATTATAAAGTCCCATCCTTCCAAACTGGAAGAATTAGCTCCTACATTAAGAACTGCGGGTAAGTTTCCATGTAATGATTGCGAGAAAATTTTTTCAAAACAGCACTTCCTTCGTGCACATGAACGCGCAGAACATGGTAAAAGTTACATTTGCAATATGAAGAGGAAGTGCCCTTTATGTGATTTTAGTTCTACAAAGGGCGAATTATTGACACATTTTGAAAACTCTCATGATATAAATATTACAATTGAAAATTTGCAGTTTCCTTCTTTTCAAGAATTTAGCGTTTAAAGACATTGAAAACAAAAGAAAGTGTACTTTTTCGGTTGAACGTGGTGTGCAAAAAACAAAATCGAATACTAAGCATTTTTTCGTATGCCATCGTTCTGGTAATTATACACCACAAGGCAATGGTCTCCGACATTTAAAACTACAAGGGTCGAAAAAAATAAATGGGTTTTGCCCAGCTAGTATTATTGTTACCGAAACTGATAGAAAATGCTATGTTCACTACTTAAAAACTCATGTTGGACATAAAAATGAAACTGGGCATACATTTCATTCTGATGATGATAAAATGTATTTAGGTTCTCAAATTGCTGCAGTAAAACGCTTGAGGAAAGATAAACTTTGTTCCAAATTGGAAAAATTAAAAAAACGGCATAAGTTAACTCTAACTGAATCATGTTCAATTACTGAAAGTGAAAAAGGCTGGCAAGTTCTAGCAAGTGATTCTTCTGAACTATACATGGTAGAACAAAATGCAAATAATTGCACTTGCCAACTTATTTGTAATGACTGCAATGCCTGCATTCATAAATTTACTTGCACATGTATAGATGCAAGTATAAAATGGAATATGTGTAAGCATATCCATTTTGTATGTCAGTACAGAAAAAATAAAAAATCTGATAGTGATAATGATTCAACAGGTGAATTTTTATATATTGATCATGGAGATGACAGACTCATTGAGCAGGATATTATAAATAAAAAAGCTAATAGTAATAATAATTTAACAGATTATTTATTATCTGTTGATCATAAAGATGACAGACTCACTGCTCAGGATTTTGTAAATAAAAAACCAAATAGTGATAATGGTTCAACAGGTTATTTTTTATCCATTAATCGTGAAGATGAGAGACTCACTCAGGAGGATATTATACATAAAAAGTATAATAATGATTCAACAGGTGATGTTTTATCTGTTGATCATGACAATGACAGACTTGCTCAGCAGGACATTATAAATGAAAAATCTAACAGTGACAATGATTCAACAGGTGAATTTTTAATTATTGATCATGAAGATAACAGCGTCACTAGATTCAAGCAAGATGCTATGAATAAAAAATCTAATAGTGGTAATGATTCAGTAGGTGATTTCTTATCTATAGATCAAGAAGATGACAGACTTGCCAAGGATGATATTATAAGTATGAAATCTAATAGTGATAGTGATTCAACAGGTGATTTTTTATCTACTGATAATGAAGATGACAGAGTTATCAAGCAGGATATCATTTCACCTGAGCTGGAGAAAAATGCCCCTAACATATCCAAAACTCCCACTTTGACAGAAAAAATTCAGAATTTGAAAGAGAACTTTTTATTCATGATGGATTCAGTAAAAACTGATACTGAATATTGTGCAGTAAAAAAATTATTTGATACAATGCAACCAACTCTGGATGCAGTGCGCATCCAGAAAAGAAGATTTTCCGAACCTCAGATCACTTTTTCATCTAACAAAACCATTTCATCCCAAGATAAGAAAAAGAGAAAAAGAAAAATTGATGCATCGCAGGTACATTCCTCTTCTACCAAAACAGAAGAAACGAAAGAAACACAGCAAAATGTTTGTGCACCTTCAGAGGAAACTATTCAAATCGCTGTCCTAGCATTATTGAGTGTTGGCAAACTATGCTATAACTCTGATACCAGCTCAGAATCGCAGTAACACACTATGGAATACTGAAGTTTCGTATATTAGGTTAGCAGTATCTGCTTTCCACATACACTTAATGTTTGTTTGAATACCTAGTAGCTACTGTTACAGACTTGTGGTGATATATTCCTTGCAAGATCTTGCTACTGAAATTCCTTGCGATAACTGATAATGAACAGTGCAAAAGAAATGCAAGTGCATATCAAAACGTCATCATAATATTGCTTTATTTAAAATTATTAATTTTGTATAATGTCAATTGTTTAAATACAATATGATTATTTTCTTAATTGATTATAATAATTATTTTTGTTGATTAATAAGTATTATTACTGTTCTAAATTTGAGAAATGCATGCACATTGTAAAGCATCTTAATGATAAATTACAAGCAACTACTGAAGCATTAAGTGCAAAATTTAGATATTCGTCTATGCATTGTTGCATATGAAAATTATTTTAATTAAATTATATCCAAAATAATGTTGAAAAATAGATTCAATATACATAAAGAGAAGGCAAGGAAAAGTATGGAATGTCCAAAAAATTAAGGTTCATGAGAAAATATTAAATTTTAATTGTATTTAATATTACTAATGATTATATATTAGATACTCTTTTTGTTATGCATCTGCCATGCATTTTGGTAGGTTTTGTAATAATAAAGGATTTGTAATTGTAAGGGTATTTATAAATATGCAAACACACAATAATAGCCAAGATGGCCCTGCTGTTAGGTCTCTGCATGTGCATGGCTTCTCTTTCACAGGCACCAAAAAGTGTGGCAAGTGCATAACAAAAAAATACCATTAGTATATTATGAAAATACCATCAGTTTTAACCATATAACAAACCTGAACCCAGTAGAACTCATTGGAAAATTCTGGATTATTTAGACTCTATAATTCAATTGACTATACAGTACAAAGTCTTTAATCCGGACTTGTCGGGACTTCGGTGATTCCGGATTAGGGTTTTTCTGGATTATAGATCATCAATTTAAAATATGGTAAGATGGCATGCAGAAATTATAAAATTAAAAATATGAAACCATAATTTATGAAATAAAGATCAATTATGATCTAAAGGGTATCAAAATTTACCCCCCAAAAAAGCTTAATATTTATTTGTTTACTTTATTAAACATTTCTTTCAATCTAAGTTGTTTAAGTTGCTTCGTTTTATGTGTTAATACTTTCTCTTTAATTCTATAAACAGACGAAATTTCTTGTTCAGTTACAAAGTTCCTCTATTCAAGTCCTGTACTGTTGCTGTGCCGAGAATACCGACTAACTTGTCAATCAAATTTTTTTTCATTTTCACTAACCTCTCTGTCACTTTTTTTCATGCCTTTATCCATTTTTTGCAGCAATTCCACTTTTTGTTTGATGGACATCGAAACATGCTTTCGCTTTGTAGATCCTTTGGCAGCTCCAGAATCAGAAACTCTTTTTGACATAATCAAGAGTTCAAGCTTACTTTTTATAAAATTGCTCTAACGGTCTGCAAAAAATAATAAGCCAGATCTAATTAGAAGATTAAGGAACAATGCAATCTGCAACATTAACTGAAATAGGTCATTTTAGCCTAGCTTATACTGTCCGTTATACATTTAAACGTGCATGCGTAAAGGTATTATGTGCATGCGTAAATGTTGCGCATGCACAGAAAGTTTGTAGCTTTGAGGTCCAGATTATAGATCATTCCGGATTAAAGACTTTGTACTGTATTAGTGGTTCTTAACATTTATTGCTATTTCCCTCTCTTCTCACCACTCATCAGAATATCATTTATCCTGGGTTTGAGTAGTATATTTCAAATAAGATACAAAATTGAAATGCAATACATTATAAAGGAAAGTACAGTAACATACAGTAAAAGCTTTGTAAATCCCGGATATCTGAAAATTCTGAATAGCTCAGTATATAAAAAGTACAACTCGCAGTAGAACAGCCAGTGGAATGGAAGAAGATATTTTGGTACTCTTTTGTTATTGGGACTGGATTCAGAAATGCACATAAGTATGCATGTGTGTATATATACACTCACATACATACATACATGTACACATACATTTCTGAATCTGGACCTGATAAGACAAGAGTACCGAAACTTTTGCTCAAAAATTATAAAAAGCTATCTTATTTGTTATCAAGTTGCCTGATCAAGGAAGGAATATCAAAAGCCGGAAGCACTTCCACAGAGAACCCGGTAAATGTAAACATTGCCAACTTTGGCGATAATAGTTCAAATCTGGTAACCCAGCAGAATTATCCTATTCCCTTGTTCGAACTTTGCAACCATTCCTCTTGCGTTCACTTTGTTGAATTATCACTGTCGTTGTTCGCATTTGCAGATTTTATATTATTCTTCTCTTATTTATTATTATTTTTTCTGAAAACTGCCAATATTTTCGTAGATAGATGCCGGTTCTCTATTCGGGATGAAAGGAAGAAAATACGGCGGGAGGGGTGAATGCTAATTTGTAACACGGCTGTTTACGTTGTGTTCTTAATTATTAACAGCTGTAACCATGCAGAACTATGAGGTTTCCAACCCCTAAAATAATTTGTTTTCGTAGCTCTCAAAAATATACGTGTGCATTTTAAATAATTAAGTAATGCTTTTATTTTTATTATTGGTTATTGTCATCTAAAATTATGAGAATAAATCAATTTTTATGGCGTAAAATTTTAACAAGATAATATATTGTTAATGCTTTTCTAACAATAACCTTTCAGAGAATGGCAGGTGTGACATAAATAGATGATTAAATTGAAATAAAAAATATGATTGATTATGTAAGATGACAGAATAGTTTGATGCATAA